GCGTTTCCTGTTGTTATGTTGATCTTCACGATTTGGTCACACTTCAAGATCTGTTGGATTCTATCGATTTCTACGTTTCTGCGTAGATCTGGCGAATTTTTCGCGATTGATTTGCTTTAAATGCAATAATCTTTGATGAGTTTGTGTATGGTAGTGAATGATGTTGATTTCGCTAGTTTTTTTTTTGGTTTTCGTTTCTTTATGATTTTTGACAAAGTAATTGGAACAGTTTCTTGCAAAGATGTCTTCTGATGCGTCCCGGGAAGAGAATGTGTACATGGCTAAGTTAGCCGAGCAAGCTGAGCGTTACGAGGAAATGGTTGAGTTCATGGAGAAAGTTGCAAAGACTGTTGACACCGAGGAACTTACTGTTGAAGAGAGGAATCTCTTGTCTGTTGCTTACAAGAACGTGATTGGTGCTAGGAGGGCTTCGTGGAGGATCATCTCTTCCATTGAGCAGAAGGAAGAAAGCAGGGGAAACAATGATCACGTTTCCATTATCAAGGACTACAGAGCTAAGATTGAGACTGAGCTCACCAAGATTTGCGATGGCATTTTGAACCTTCTCGAGTCTCATCTCGTTCCTGCTGCTTCTTTGGCTGAGTCCAAAGTTTTCTACCTCAAAATGAAGGGGGACTATTACCGTTACCTCGCTGAGTTTAAGACTGGAGCTGAGAGGAAAGAAGCTGCTGAGAGCACTCTTGTTGCATACAAGTCAGCTCAGGTTATAATCTCGTTTTAGGCGCTTTTTGATTCTCAGTATTGGCTAAGAAATCATGTTGACTCATGCTTCTGGTGTTGTCTCTTTATGTAGGATATTGCTCTTGCTGATTTGGCTTCCACTCACCCAATCAGACTGGGGCTTGCTCTTAACTTCTCTGTCTTCTACTATGAGATACTCAACTCATCTGATCGCGCTTGTAATCTCGCAAAGTAGGTACGTGTTGCTTCCTGGTTTAGTATAAGATTTATGTTATTGCTTTTATTTTCTATCATTAGTAAATAAGTGTTCTGCTTGATAAAACTTAGCACACTATAGACTTTGACTTTTTTTGTTTATCGATTGTCATTGTGCCCTTGTATGTATATTGTGGCATAAACGTGTTTATGTGGTTAACTTGTTACACTTCCATAGCATCATAGTGTTTGACCGATAGGATTGTAGTCAAATTATGATGATGGGCAGAATTGTGGAAGTAGAGCCTGTGGATGTTCCGATAAACTAATGAAATCAAACTACCTTCACATTCTGATTCTAGTTTGATTCGAGTACGTTTTGTTCAGTTACACGTATGTGATTGTCATGATAATTGTAGGCTTTTGATGAGGCAATCTCTGAGCTAGACACATTGGGAGAGGAATCGTACATGGACAGTACATTGATCATGCAGCTTCTCCGCGACAATCTCACCCTCTGGACTTCTGACCTCAATGTACTTCCATCTCCTAACACTTTTCATTGTTACCAATCTCTTAATGAATACACTAAATCAATTAAGATTTGTGATGTTGTTGTTGTTATTTGCATAACACTTTGTGTCTTATATCTTATTTTCAGGAGGAAGCTGGTGATGATATCAAGAAAGCCGCGAAAGAGGTGCAGAAAGATGATGAACAAGCCCAACCACCACCATCGCAGTGATGAAACCACGTCCATGGAATGATTTACAAAAAGATGTATGGTTTGGTTCTGGGTTTATCACATGAACAAACAAAAAAAAACAAATCTTGTAAACATTGGTTTGTAGTAGCTCTAGTAGCCGCATGATTTGATTCTATCCATGGAAACTCTTGTTTGCTTCTCACTCTTTTCCTTATTTTTGTTTTTGGTCACGGGTTCCACTATTAGACTGTATTGCAGTACATGGTCCGGTCTAAAATTGATTCTCTTTTCCAATGGAATTTTAGTTGTCATTTGGTTTATGCTTTTTTTTAGTAAATGTGTTCTCTTTGATATTTTTTTATCATTTGAGGGAATTAGTTAAGACTTGAGAGGGTTATTCAATTCTGGTTTGTATTATTTGATTTTGAGAATTTTTGGTTTAGAACACTAGTTGTCTATATTGGATTATTGGTTATGAAGTACTATGATTTTCAATTTTCTTGTTTTTTGATAAGTTAATTAGGTTTAAGTACCATCCACATACAATTTGTAAGTGGGTTAATGGTAGTCATTGGACGAAAGATAACATGAATGAAATAGTAACAGGTAATTAATGTTGAAAAAAAGAAGAATAAAAAGGTTTGAAGCCCATCAAGATACAAAGATATTAAATGGGTCCGTTTTAGGAGAAACCCTAAGTCCCTAGGTTATCTTTGTAATCTATATAAACTCTTGTATGCCTCCATTGTTCTTCAATCTAGTACAACACAATCTTCTCCATAATACTTTATTCTCTAT